TCCTGCTGGCCCATGAGAACTTAAACAATACAGGAAACCAGGAAATCTGGAAAACAATCCTAAAGAAGGAAGGTATCATCTTCCTCTTTCACTTTAGCCTCCCTTAGACTCTTGAACCTGCCTGGTGTGTATCTTCTGACTGGAGACACGCCTTGGTTAGACTGGAAATGCAGATGGAAGGTGCATTTACTGAGGTCTGCATCTGTGTTCTTTTTTATGTTTAAGTCTCGACTGTTCATTTTCCTTCTTAACTGTATTTTTCTTCTTTCCTAAAACAGTGTTCACAGAGCAAAGGCTTTCAGTTGCTGCAAGTACAGCTTAAAAACCTTAAATAGTCCGTCTGGTTGACAAGGTTCTGAAAGAGCTCTGCTTTTGTGGTCACACAGCCCATTGCCCAGAGCTTCTATTCTGAGCATACAGAGTTGCTGAGTAAGTGCCTTAAAGTATTGGAGCTTTGGCTCTCGATCTGGCTCTCCTGCTTTTGGCAGCTTGTTCTGTGGGGCACGCTTGGATGCTCCTGAATATGGACTGGGGAGCTACCTTACAGAGCCTTCCCACCCTCATCTTTCAGTACTTGTAGGATCATGTTCCTGTAAAGATCAGGTTCATTTTCTTTTCCCCGATCAAACCCAAATACTGCAGTTACCTCGTGTCTAATAGAACTTCAAGACTACACCGGAGTTTTTTCTTAGGATAACGATAAAATCCATACAGCTTTGTGTTGGTTTTTTCCCCTTATAGGGTAGGCATCTCTCCAAAACAGAACTCAGTCATCTGATTGGGTCTTTTAGAAAGAGAAAAAAGAGATCAGGTGAAGTATTTGGTGTTCATGCCTAGCCCTGCATCCTGACGTGTACAGACAGTCTGGTTCCTGTAAGAAGTAATGGATTCAAGGCTCATTATCTGAGTTGTTACCACCATAGTATTTAACTTATGAACTAAATACTGTCGCCTTCAGCTGGTCACCTGAAGGGTCACCTTTAGAAAATACAAGGTGCAATCATAGAAGGGAACAGAGCACATTTTTAAAATTTGGATTGATGCTGAATAATGTTCTACAGCCTCTTGGGACACTTGGAAGAGGTGCAATGAGGGCAGATCTGACTTGTCTTAGTATTTTTACTGCATGTATATATTTCTTAATTAACGGTACTACCTCTTCTGCATTGTTTAAATGTATATTGGTGTATATATATGTACGTGTATGTCTTGTTTTGACTTCCTGTGTTATTTCTGCTCATGAAATAAAAGTTTTGGACTACATGGTCTTCTGGACTATAATAAATATGGATGTGTAATGATATCAGATAATCAAAGAAACACCATCCCGTATTTGTATTAAACTAGTTGAATAATTAGGTTCTGGGTTGACAAACCTGACAGTTTCTCAGTGTTCAAGGCATTCAACTCTTCTATAACACAGCATCCAAGTCCATCACCAAACCACGTTCCCAAGTGCCACATCCACACATCCCCCGGATCCCTCCATGGACGGTGACCCCACCACTTCCCTGGGCTGCCTGCTCCAATCTTTGACAACCCAAAGTTTGACGCTGTCCAAGGCCCAATTCTGACCTCGTTTTTGTGCATGCAGCAACCAAAGTTAATAAATGGAGTGGCAGAAAGTAGTGTCGTGATGAATACATTGCGGCACCCATCCAGGAAGCCAGGGTATTCTAAAGAAGTTCAGTACGTGATCTCTATCAGTAGAAACCAATGTGTTGATTACTGAGGGAGGTTCAGCCGAGCCTCTTCTTGCGCGGACTGGAATGCAGCTCCTCCCCTCGGAGCCAGATGGCAGCTGGGTCACCGCTCCTAGGGCAACCTGGAGTCCCCGGGCTTCAATCTGAGAAGGAGTCCTATGATAGGGGACAGGAGTTACTATGACAGCTTTCGTTTTCTGCTCTTCTCTCTGGTGTGCAAGAGCTGGCATGCTTGTTCAGGCCACATAAAATGGTCATTTATTATAAATCACCCAATTACTTTGTCATGAGAGGTCATTGTTGCATATTTTATGCCGTCTGCAGCCTGTGCGGTTTCTGAAAGCATACCCCAAGGATCAGCGCATACCCCGAGCGAGCAGCCTTTGTGTGCCAGTATTTGGATTAAGGGAGTGACTGCAGGCTGGTGCAGTGCAACAACCATGGGTCCTTATTGTGCAAGAAACCGATCGAGAGCAGCGAGGTGTAGACTTGGAGAACCTGGGCTGTAAAGAGCGCCCGGGGTTGGACAGTGAATGGCGCTGGGGGCGAGATCAGAGGTAAAGCCTGAACCGCGTAAACCCAAAGAGGAGGCTCCTTAGAACCAAGAGAGAAACAGCCGTGCCTGTTCCTGCAGCCATGGCTCACTTCTTCCTATTCCAGCTGGCATTTGCAAGTCTAGGAATACATTCAGCTCTTCAATATTCAATCATCCCATACTTACAGCGAAGATTCTTCTCCATGCCAGTGTTTTTGGATTTCTACTGCAGTATTAGGTTTTTCTCTTGCTTTAGCAAGAAAAAGTGGATATAGCCTCTAGCCAAGTACCCAGAAAAAGCCTACAAAGAAAGCAGATAATTCCAAACCCGTATAGACACAGCACTCACAGAACCGAGAGATGCGCTCTTCGATTTATGCAGCGCACAAGAATGAGAAAAGCAGGGTCCCTGCCTCGAACACCTCCTGTGAAATCAACCCCAAGTTGTTGATGCACCACCCAAAACTCCCTCTTCTCATCAGGAAACATCAGCCTTTCCACGCAGCCGTTAGCCAGGGGACATTTTAGCAGCGCTGCTGTCTGCAGCTCTCTTGTCATCTTGCATGCGTGACACAGACTCAGCAAAGTGAGTCTGCACTCTATTGATTTCTCATTAGGAAGCGTGCCTCACATTTTGGACAGCAATGAGGGGGGAGAAACAACAACACCAGGGAACAAAGCTGGTCAGACAGAAGCCAAACCAAATCTCTGGTGCTTCACTTCTTGTGTCATCTGAACGCTGACAGCTTGATGTCTCTGGGTAATGCCACACAAGGGAAATTAGCACCATCGCACTCCTAGGCACTGCCATCTGCATGTCAACGGGTGTAGAGATTTGTGCAGGCGCTCACAAAGCAAGACTGATAAAAAAGGCTTCGGCTTTTGCAGTTTTTTTCTGACTGCACTTATTTCCTGGAGGAAAGTGCTAATTAAAAATAACCCGGTACCGCTCCAACGCAACTGCAGCCGCACCAGGACCCTTCCCTGCTGTGCTGCGACTGAAGCTCATCAGTTCACCCCGCGCCAGCACACGGCCTGCTCTGGAACAGGAAACTTCCACCAACGGAGGGGACAGTGCTGGAAATGCAGATAAATGCAGATGTTCTGGGACTCTCATCCTGACCTACAGGAACATAAAACCAAAGAGAAACTGGTTCGGTGTCTACCACGCACACCTCACAGTCCATACACAAAAGCAAGCTAGTAAGAACTAAATGGAAAAAGATTAACCTGATTTTGCCTCCTCTTACTGTCTGTCTGCCTCACAGCCAACGCCATGCTCTGATAACAGACTGCCCAGATAAGAAACGTGGTTTCAGGACCAAAGGACACAGAAAATCGAGGACACAAAGCCCACACGCCCTTCGTCTGCACCATGTAGAGCTTTTGCCAGGAGCTGTTCCTTCACTACCAATTTATTTCTCTTCATTTAAAAGTACAAGTCTATATCTTGTTCAGAGGCTGGTGGGTTATTTCTGCCATGCCCACAGAACGCACCCGGGCAGCTCTTCCAGCAGTCGCTGGCAATGGTGGAGCAGCCGTGAGCTGCTTGGGACGTGAAGGCTTCACCGCCAGCGTCACAGACAGATTTTGGCTTAAATTAAACACAGTGTGTGAAGCTAGAGACACAAAAACACACCAAGACAGCATAGACAGGATCTATGCCCAAACAGGACCTTCAAAAACCAATGTACTGCAGCAAAACTGTGTTAGGCTGCCACGCTAGACACAAAAATCAGTTCTGAGTGTTTCAATTAGAGAATTTTTAAACCGCTTTGACCAATCCACTTATTCTCTTGGTTCATCGCTGTGGACGTGGACACAGACAGGGACGTGGATGGGTTTAGGGCACCGGAATACCAGAGCTGCAATAGTTTCCTCCCAGGGTGGTCAAAGCAGCCACCATAATGGCAGAATCATTTGGTTGAAATGCAGATGGGACAACGCAGGGCCTCATTTGCGGGAAGGTTGTGAAAGCTCCTGCAGATTCAGCCCAGCATCCACTCAGCTGTTAACAAGAGCCTAAAATATTTGGAAAAAATGAAGCAATCTGCTCTTGTGCAAAGGTCCATCGCAAGACTTTCCACAATGTCGCTCTGCTTTTCATCAGAACCCAGGCTGGAAGTGGATTTTACTGAGCTTCAAATTTACCCAAAGTCCAAATTACTTTCTTTGTAGCTTAGAAGTGGAAACTCAGATAAATACATTTTTCATCTCACCTGCTACCAGAAGGCAGCATTCATAAGCGTCAGGAAGTCTCTATTCAGCAGAATGTGTCCTTTTTTAAAATTCCAGCCCTTATGGGAAATCAAAAACTGCTTAAAGCACCCGGCACTGGCCACTATAAGAAGCCTTTTACCTTATTATGGATCCCCGCTCTGACTCGGCACCAACACACCAGCGATGCGTGAACCCGAACTGCTCTTTACCTCTGTGACGGGGATGCTCAGCACACAGAGCAGTGCTTGCTGTGCCTCAGCCACAAGGGACAGGACGTTAACGAGCAGCTTTGGTACCAACCTCACTCCTCCCGCACCACTCGGGCCTCTCTCTGCTCCTGCTCCTACCAGGGGTCAAAGCGTGGGCACCGATGGCTCTGGTGTTAATTGCAGTGCACGGGGCCAGACCTGACAGCAAAGCAGCATCGCTTCCCCCTCCCACAGCCGCACTCGTGTATTTAAAGCACTCCCATC